GGGGTGGGGGGGCGGGGGCCTCTCCATCACATGCCCCCTATCCCCGCAGGTGGTGTATGGTGACACTGACTCTGTCATGTGCCGGTTTGGCGTCTCCTCCGTGGCTGAAGCGATGGCTCTGGGGCGGGAGGCTGCGGACTGGGTGTCTGGCCACTTCCCTCACCCCATCCGGCTCGAGTTTGAGAAGGTAAATGCCCCCACTCCTCCTGCGCTTGGAGCAGGCAGTTTGGGGGAACCTGTTTCTCGGGGCACATGCAAAGCTTACAGGTGCCTCCATGCGGGCTTCCTCTGCTTTGTCGGCATCTGGGGAACCCGTGTTTTCAGGGTCTCCATTTTGGGGGTGCCCTGATCAGGGTGCTCTGGGTGTCCTACCCTTTGGGTTTGTGAGCCCCAGCTTTCAGGTATTTTGCTGAGTGGATTCCTCTGAATCGGGGCCTTGGTTTCCAAAAGCTCCAAAGCCTGGGCTTTACACGCCACGCGGTGTCTGCTTTCATAGCCTTGTCAGTCTTGGAGTGTCTCTGGTGTGGCGGTGCCTGTCAGGCGCAGGGTCTGGCTTGGGTGGCGGGGACTCTGATAGCCAAGTCCTGGGTCAGGGGGCCGTTGTCTGGGGCTCCCCGCTCCTGGCGTGTGGCAGACTTGGGTCAGGAAATCTCACGCCAGACTTGATCCCCAGGGTCCAAAGCAGGGTCAGGCCCAGGGTGTGACCGCTCTGGGGTTCCGAGCCTCCCAGTGCACAGAGGTCTGTGCCTCCGGCTTACCCAGGCCTTCACCTCCTCTCTTCGGGGGGTGTGCCCATCTGCCTCAGGTTCTGCCCCAGGTTGGGGGCTTTCCGGGTTCACCCCAGTGTCTGGGTCTCATGTTAAGGTCTGTTTCTGGGCTTGCCCCAGTCTCTGTTTCAGACTTGTGGGTCCTGCTCTGGGGGTCCCTGGCGTGCTGAGGCTGTTCCCAGGCTCGGGGGTTGGGGCCTTAGGGTCCGGTCGCCCAAGCACCCCAATCCCAGGTCACGGGAAACATACCTGTCTGTCAAGTTTTGGGAGGGCGTCTCGGGGTCGGACGCCAGCGCCTGCAGTCTTGGGTCTCAGCCATGGGTACCCGCAGGTCTACTTCCCCTACCTGCTCATCAGCAAGAAGCGCTATGCGGGCCTGCTCTTCTCCTCCCGACCGGACGCCCACGACCGCATGGACTGCAAGGGCCTGGAGGCCGTGCGCAGGGACAACTGCCCCCTGGTGGCCAACCTCGTCACCGCCTCGCTCCGCCGCTTGCTCATTGACCGGTGTGTGGGCCCTGGACCCAGACCTGGAGGCCAGGCCCCAGCCCCCCGCCCCGCGGGCCCAGGCGCCCCAGCCCTCCTCCCCTGGGGCGCAGGTGTTGGGCCAGCTCCTCGTTGGCGGAGGCGCAGCGGGAAGAGTGTGGGGTTGGACAGCTGCGGGGCGCAGCCTGTGGCCGGGCCGGGCTCCTCCCCGCCCGGGCCCTCACAGCCACTCGTGATGTCCCATCTGGCCCTCAGAGACCCCCAGGGCGCTGTGGCCCACGCCCAGGACGTCATCTCAGACCTGCTGTGCAACCGCATCGACATCTCGCAGCTGGTCATCACCAAGGAGCTGACCCGCGCGGCTGCCGACTACGCCGGCAAGCAGGCCCATGTGGAGCTGGCCGAGAGGTCCGTGGGGGGAGGCGGGGTCCCGACCGTCCAGAAATCGCCCTACCTGCCAGCTGAGCCTGCCCTGCTGCCCCACCCGCCCTCACCTGCCCTTACCCACTGGCCTCCCCGCAGGATGAGGAAGCGGGACCCCGGGAGCGCGCCCAGCCTGGGAGACCGGGTTCCCTACGTGATCATCAGTGCCGCCAAGGGCGTGGCCGCCTACATGAAGTCGGAGGTCGGGCCCACCTGGGCTGCCCACGCCCGCCCAGCCCCCGCTCTCACTTCTGCTTTCCGAGCTGGCCGGAGGGTGTTTCCCTCTGTACGCCCCGTGGGGCTGACAGCCGCCCCCTGCGCACCCTGGAGTCAGCTCTGCTGCTCTGCTCCCAGACCTCCCAGTGCCTTGTGGAGGGTCCCCCTGCCCCCCATCCCTCTGACCTGCCCCTCACTCCCCCTGCAAAGGGGCCCAGCCTCGCTGCACAGGGCTTCCCTCCCTCTCTCTGTCTCCCTGGCCCTCATTCTCCAACCTCTGATTCCCTTACCTCCATACGCTCCCCATCCCGCCCAGATGCCCTGTGACCTCTGACCCTCACGCTCCTTGCGCAGTCCCTGGTTCTCATCCAGCCTCTGACTCCAGTCGCCCCCTTCATCCTTCATTGCTGTGGACTCTGCCCCTTCCATGGTGACCTGAGGGTTACCCACCTGTGGACCACAGCATGGGTCACAGCGCCTGTGGCCGGGGACCGCCCAGTGACCCATGACCCCACCCCAGACCCCCTTCTGCCCCTCGATGCCACCCCCTACAGGACAGCACCGCACCCGGTGACCCGTTCCACACCATGGTCCCCAGTCATGACTGGAGGGCCCATCAGTGGTCTCCATGTCCTTCATCCGGGCGTTCTGCTGCCACAGCGCCCCCCCCCGCCCCCCCCCCAGCCCTGCACCGCTCTGGCCTAGTGTGGTGCGACCCCGCCGGCCACTCTGCCCGCAGGACCCCCTGTTCGTGCTGGAGCACAGCCTGCCCATCGACACACAGTACTACCTGGAGCAGCAGCTGGCCAAGCCGCTCCTGCGCATCTTCGAGCCCATCTTGGGCGAGGGCCGCGCCGAGGCTGTGCTGCTGCGTAAGGGGGCGCCTGGGATGAGCGGGGGTGCCTGGGGCTGTGGGAAGGGAGAGGGCACTGGCCAACACCTGCTCACACCTGCGCTGCAGGGGGGGACCACACACGGTGCAAGACCGTGCTCACCAGCAAGGTGGGCGGCCTCCTGGCCTTCACCAAGCGTCAGAGCTGCTGCATCGGCTGCCGCACCGTCCTCAGCCACCAAGGTGAGCCCAGGCCCCGGCCCACACCCACCCTGGCCCGTGGTCCCCAGCCCGCAGGCCGGCACTGCTGATAGGGTCCTGCCCTGGGGTGGGGGTCTCCTCTCTGCAGTCACCCCAGGAGGGTCCTGGGCCCCCCACCGCGGGGATTCCCCAGGGAGTTTTCCCCACACACTCGTTCCCTTGTTCTCTGTCTCCGGGGACTTTCAGGAGTCGGGATGGGCAGCGGGCGGGGAAGGGGCAGGGATGGAGTGGCCGGGCCTGGCTGGGCCCCAGCCCAGTCCCAGCGCGCCTGTGCCGCCCACTCCCACCCCCAGGAGCCGTGTGCAAGTTCTGCAAGGCCCGGGAGTCGGAGCTGTATCAGAAGGAGGTGAGGGGTCCCGAGGGGTCTGGCAGGGGCGCTGGGGGAGGCGCGAGGCCAGGGCCACTGCTCAGACCCACTGCCCCCAGGTGTCCCACCTGAACGCCCTGGAGGAGCGCTTCTCGCGCCTCTGGACCCAGTGCCAGCGCTGCCAGGGCAGCCTGCACGAGGACGTCATCTGCACCAGGTGCGCACGCCCATCGGCCCCGGCCCTGGCCGCCCACCCGGACCCCGTGTGCTCCCGCGGCTTCTGGGGCCAGGTCCCAACTCCAGGGTCTCAAGCAGCAGCGCCCCCACCCCACACCCCCTCCTGGCTTCAGGGTCTCACTGACCCTCCGTGTCCTGGGCCGCAGAATGGGCCAGTGTTCCCCCCAGCCCTCCCAGGGGGTGGGGGCGGGGCTGCCGAGTGGGGCAGGGGCAGGCACCCAGTGTCTGCCTAGGAAATGGCTGTGCTGGCCCCCTCCCCCAGGGTGGGGCTGGGCTTTCCCCAGGGAACAGGTGGGCGGGGCGGGTTCCCACACCGGGTGACAGGTGAGACGGCTGGTGGCCCTGGGCCTCAGCGGCACCCGCTGTTAACGCGCGCCCCCCCCCCCCAACCGTGCCCGTTGAGCAAACAGCTTTCCCGGGAAGGCGGGTGGGTGGGCAGCAGGCCCGGGCCAAAGTCCTGGGAACCATCCGTGCTCCGTCCCGGGGCTGGGCGTCAGGACTCGCGTGCGCAGCCCCGGGCAGCCAGCCCTGGCTCTGACCCTGTCCCTGCCCACAGCCGGGACTGCCCCATCTTCTACATGCGCAAGAAGGTGCGGAAGGACCTGGAGGACCAGGAGCAGCTTCTGAGACGCTTTGGGCCCCCTGGCCCCGAGGTCTGGTGACCTCTGACCTCTGCTGGCTTCCTGTGAGGGCCTGCGGGGGTGGGATTGGCGGGGAATTAATAAAGTTTGGGTCTTTTGTTACCTGGTGCTTTGTGGTTGGTGTCTGGGGGTACAAGGTCCACTGCCAGGCCTTGGCCTGGGTGGGGCATCTCCCCTCGTCAGGGTCCCCTGACCCTCAGGATGCCCCCACCAGACCTCCTCCCCTCTGTGCAAGACCCCTGGGCTCCCGCCCCCGCGGGCAGCCCACGCCGCCTCAGTGCCCCCAGTGAGCGCCCCGCATGGCGCCTCCACACTGCCCGCCCTCCTGGGCACCAGCTGGCCCTCCAGGTGCTGGCCCGTTTCCTCCCGATCTGGGGCAGCCCCGGGCACCGAGGCTCCCACTCCCCACAGGACCCAGGGGACCCCCCTTCTGTGTCACACACCCACAATGTTTCCACCTTAGGGTCCTCATCCGCTTGGGCCTGGCTTTTCCTCAGGGACACGCCCGTCCATGACCCCCGTGTGGCTGATCGGGGACCCCTTGGCCCCTCCTTTTCAGGATCCTCCAAGTTCAGCTCCTCTCCCATCCCCGCCCCTCAGGATCACCCTCCCTGCTTCCAACCATGGGGATCCCCAAATCCAGAGGGCTCCTGGGCCCGCCCTCCCTACCACATGACGAGGGGTTGTGCAATCCAGCCCCTTCCCCTGATCCCTCCCTGAGGGGATTTTCGAGGAGGGCCGAGCTCCCAGCACCCTGCCGGCCAGGGGGCTGGGCCAAGGTATAAATAGGGGTGGTGGCTGGCGGAGCCACAGCCCAGCCCAGCGCCACCATGCTCGCCCTGGAGGCTGCACAGTGAGTGAGGCTCTCGCCCCGTGGGGCCCCCGCCGCCCCTGCCCCTGCCCCTCCGCCAGGCCTCCCGGAGGTGGTCTCAGCTGCCAGCCCCACTGGTGGGGGGTCCTCGCTCACTCCTGCTCTGGGTCTCTTTTTCCCCCTTCCCACCTCTGATTCTTCCCTCCATCCCCTCCCTGTCTCCCCTGAACCCCACGGACCTTCCCGTGCCGTGCAAGGCTTGTCTCTCCCCTGCCCCCCGCCCCCCGCGATGTCTCCCAGGGGGCCCCATCTCTGTCCTGCTGGGTCCCGCTCACGGTGTCTGCTCTGTTCTCTGCCTCACCTTTCTGCCTCTCTCCTTCACCTATTGCTCCCTCGGTTGGTCTGTCTCAGCCTCTTTCCAGCCCCCTGTCCACCTGTCTCTGTCCTGCCCCCCGTCGGCCCCCCCACCCCGTCTCTGTCTCTGGGGCTCACTCCGTAAACACTTCTGCATCCGCGCGTGAATGTCCCCTCACCGTCCCCGCTTCCCTGCTCTCTCCGTCTGCCCTCGGCCCAGGCCCCTCTTCAGCTCTCTCCCCCTCCGAGGGGCACCCGTTAGACGGACTGGCCAGCGGAGGCCCCTCCCCGCCCCCACTCGCCCGCTGGCACCCACGTCTCTCTGGGGACTTTCTCTCCCTCACTTTCCCTACCCCCACCAGCCTCTGTCTATGCAAATCCCAGGGGAGGGGGGACATTTGCCTGGCTCCTGCCCCCCACTTCCTGTCCCAGTGGGGTAGTGGGGGCGAGTGGTAAGGCCGGTCTCACACACGACCACGGAGCAGACACGGGCTGCGTGGTCACAGCTGCAGCCGCCGCTCCCCCACCGGCCCCCAACCACTTCGAGACTCAGGTGGCTGCCGGCGCCCTGACATGCCCTTGTGCCTCTCCCCCTCCAGGCTGGACGGGCAGCACTTCAGCTGTCTGGTGAGTTGGGGCCCCGGGGCCAGAGGCCAGGAAGGGTTGGGGGGCACAGATGGCCCACTGTGACCTCCCTGCCTCGGTTTCCCTCTCCATTCCTTCCTGTCACTCTGTCTTTCTGACTCCCCCTCAGCGTCTCCCACCACCGCCTCCCCCCACTCCCGCCCCCGCCGTCACAGATGTTTTTCTGATGTCTCTTTCCTTGTCTCAGGCTCTGGGTCCACTTCCTTGGGGTGAGGTTGGGGGGATAGTTCTTTGTATCTTTGCCTTTCTGTCTCTTTCTCTGTCTGTCCCGCATTCAGCAAATCTATTCCTTCCTCTTTCCCTCTCTTTTTCGCTTCATATTTGCAAAAGTTTGCTCGGTAATATATCAGACACACAGCACTGCAGCTGAAACCCACAGTCCGGTCTGAGATAAAGTCTCACTCGTGGTCTTGAAAGACACCCCCTTTGGGTGCCCTGCCCTCATCACAGGGCAAGTTTTGCTTTTTTGAGAAATCTGAGGCCCAACTTATTTTAAGTCGGTAAAATGACACATCTTGTGTTCAGCGCAGTGAGGTTTGGCCTCAGGCACACACCTGTGCAACCACTAACCAGACCAAGATACAAACGTTCCGTCACTCAAGAATATCCTGTTACATGTCCTGTCTGTCCCGCCGCTGAATTTTTTTCCACTGTGAATGAGCTTTGCCCAGTTTTGAACTTTCCATTACATGAATCATGCAGAGTGTCCGCTTTTGGGTCTGGGTTCCTTTGCTCAACACTCAGTGTGTGTCAGGCTTGGCGCTTTTTCCTTGCTGTATAGTACTCCACCGCCAGCTCTCGCCCCTGGGGCTGCTTCCCCTTTGGCACTTTTAATAAAACTGCTCTGGTTATTTTTTTCTTTTTTTAAAAGATTTTATTTACTTTTAGAGAGAGGGGAAGGGAGAGAGAAAGAGAGGGAGAGAAACACCGATGTGTGGTTGCCTCTTGCATGCCCCCAACTAGGGACCCTGCCCACGACCCAGGCACGTGCCCTGACAGGGACTCGAACCGGTGACCCTTTGGTTCGTGGGCCGACACCCAGTCCACTAAGCCACATCAGCCAGGGCGTGCCCTGGTTATTCTTGAGCAAGGCTACGTTGTGGACCTCCATTTTCAGTTCTCTTGGGTTCACACTTAGGAGTGAGATTGTTGGGTCATCGGAATGGTCCATCTCCAGCTTCAGCCTTGACGAGACTTTAATTGCTAAAGCCAGACTATCCTTGGGATGAATGGAAGCCACCCGGAGGCAAATCAAGGCAGCGATGACGCTTTGCCCCCGAAGGGGAGCTTCCACCCTCTCACCCCCATCCCCGCCCCAGGGCAGGCAAGGCTGGGGGAATTCTTGTGGCAGGGTGACCGAGCTCGGGCGAGGGGCTGCGGTCCCTGGGAACCCACCGTTTAGCAGGAACTGGCTGCTGTCTCTCGCTTTTTGTGTGTGCCTCCCTCTGGGTTTCCCGTGTTGAGACTGTCTCCTGTCTCTGTGTCTCTCTGTACGCCTCTTTGCCCCATCTCTGGTGCCTAGCGTCTGTCTCTCCGCGCCTCTCTCGCTCGGGCTGGCTCCGGCTCCGGCTCCGGCTCTGAGTGCCCGTGCTCCCTCTCTCCCTCTCCCAGCCTCTCACCTCTTCTCTCCCATCCCTGTCGGAGGCTCCCACCCGCTCCGGGTGGGGCGGGGGCTCCTCACAGTCCCGATGACCCCCTCTCCCCACCCATCAGTACCCAGATGGAGTCTTCTACGACTTGGACAGCGGCAAGCACCCCAGCTACCCCGACTCCGAGGGGGCCCCCGGTGAGTGGCCCTGGCCCAGACCCCTCCCCACAGGCCCCTGGGGCCCATTTCACAGGTGGGGAGCCGAGGCCCCGGGGCGGGGGCGGGTGCTGCCCCATCGCAGAGCACGGCAAGGCTGGCGCCGGCCTCAGCCTCCTCCCTGTCCTCTCCCCCCACCCCCCGCTCACCCATGCAAATCCTGGGGTCAGAGATTTGCACAGCCCACAATGACCCCTCTGTGCTAGGGGCTTCCGGGGGGGGGCAAGGCCAGACCTCCTGGCTCCTGACTCAGGGCCCTTCTCCCAGACTCCCTGTGGGGCTGGACTGAGGCCCCAGCTGTCCCTGCCACCTCCTATGAAGTCTTCGACCCAGCAGTAGTCACCTTCAGCCACCCCCAGGATGTGCAGCTCTGTTACGGACCCTCCTCGACATACAACCCTGTGGGGAGCCTCGACCCTGCCACCAGCCTGGAGGCCCCGGGGCCCGGCTTCCCAGCGTACCCCACGGAGGACTTCCCTGGCCAGGTGCGGGGCAGGGAGGTCACTGGAATCGCCACCGTTTGCTTGGCGTTTGGGGGGCGCCGGGCGCTGCGTGGGAGCCTGTGTGCGCAGGAGCCCCTTCCTCCCTCCGACGACCCTCCGAGGCTGTGTGGTGTTGTTGCTGCCTTGCACGCACCAGCCAACAGAGGCACGGGCTGTCACCTGTGTGGCGCGGGCTTTCGTGGAGGTGGTCCGGGTGTCCCCTGGCCAAGCCATGACGTCGGAGCCGAGCCGGGTGCAGGCTATGAACAGAGTGGGGAAGCTGAGGGAGGGAGAGAAGGGGACCCCCAACTACAAGTGCCCCTGACCTTCCGCAGACCCCGGGGCCCCCGGCTTATGCCCCGTACCCCAGCCCCGTGCTGTCGGAAGAGGAGGATCTCCTGCTGGACAGCCCCGCCCTGGAGGTCTCGGACAGCGAGTCGGATGAGGCCCTCATGGCTGGCCCCGAGGGGCGGGCATCCGAGGCAGGTATGTGGGAGCAAGTGCAGTGGGGGCACTCCCACTGGGGATGGGAGGGGGGCTAAAGGGCCATGGCTTCCCAACTACCTTATGCTCCAGCGCTGCACTCGCTGCACTCGCTGGGAACGGCAGTTCCCAGGTTGCTGTGTGACTTCGGGGAAGGGCCTCTGCCCCTCTGTGCCTTGCTTTCCCGTCTGTGCAGTGGGAATGGCTATTGCTGGTGGTTGGGGAGACGGAGTGGGAGAATGCTGGAAATGAGAGAGCAAGCGCCCCAAAAGTCTTCGCCGTTATTATCGACACAACAGCAGCGGAAGTAATCCCAGTATCAGCTCTCACCTGGTCAGCCCGTGCTTCCGCCTACGTGCCGGCATCTGCCCTGCGCAACCTCTGGGAGGTCGGGCTCGGTAGCAGCTGGCTGGCTCCTCCTGGGCCTCAGCTTCCAATCTGTAAATGAGTCGTCACTGCCACCCCCCTCTCACGGGGTTATGATGATAGAGCTGAAATGAGCTCCTAATTGTAAAGCATCTGGCATGAAGTTTGTAAAGGTAAAATACGCGCACACATGCGCGCCTCATTTACAGTGAAGGAGATGCAGTTCAGAGAGGTTAAGCCCCGCCCCCCCAAGGTTGCACAGCTGGGGAATGGCCGAGGTGGGGCTCTTGCATCCAGTGCCCTGCTGTGACCCCCTGCCCCAGCTCTGTGGGGCCCTCGCTGCTTGCAGGAGCCCAGCAGTCCGAACCCTGGGCCCCTCCCAGGACCCCAGTGCCTCTGGGGCAAAAGGCTGGGAGCTGTGGGGGCTGGAGAACGGCCAGGCGGACTCACACCAGCCCGGGGGGCGCTTCCCCGCCAGCCTGCCCAGGCCCTTGAGGAGCGCTGTCAGCCCATTTCACAGAAGCTGTCATCCTGGGCTCAACAAATGTGTTTTCTTACGCACCAGCCAGGAAGCAGAGCACAGGATAGGAGCAAATCCTGAAAAAGAAAGCAGGGAGGGGCTCTGGGGCCTGGGGGTAACAGCTTCAGAGAAGGGGATCGACTTGCCCCGGATTTGGGGGGCACAGACAGGACCAGGCAGGTGTATCTAACAGCCACATCCCACACCCCCCAGTTCTCCTGAAGACACACAGCCTGGGCCGGGGGGGGGGCGGGGCGGGGCGGGGGCGGGGCTCGCAGAGCACCTTCCCTAACGTGCCCAATCCCTCACCGTCCCAGGGGCCCGCAAGAAGCTGCGCCTGTACCAGTTCCTGCTGGGGCTGCTGACTCGCGGGGACATGCGCGAGTGCGTATGGTGGGTGGAGCCAGGTGCCGGGGTCTTCCAGTTCTCCTCCAAGCACAAGGAGCTCCTGGCGCGCCGCTGGGGCCAGCAGAAGGGCAACCGCAAGCGCATGACCTACCAGAAGCTGGCCCGCGCCCTGCGCAACTACGCCAAGACCGGCGAGATCCGCAAGGTCAAGCGCAAGCTCACCTACCAGTTTGACATTGCGCTGCTGCCGGCGGCCCGCCGCGCCTGAGCCCGGCGGGGCTCTCGGGGGCTCTCGGGCTCCAGGCCGGTGTCACGTTGGTGTCCCCTCACCCTGGGTCACAGGACCCGTGGATCGCCCGCTCTGTGGGGGTGGGGGGCTGCCATAACCCCTAAGCCCTGCCCAGGGCCCCTCTGGGATTCCCTTGTCATGTCCAGGGTCCCCAGGATCTTCATGGCTTGGGTCACAGGACTCACAGACGACTATACTAAGCGTCTGTGCGGAGTGGGGCGGGGCAGTGCTTCCAGAACCCCAAGAGCTTCTCTGGGATCCCCTTGTGATGTCTGAGGTCCCCCCACCAGGCTGGGGACCCCTCTGAGACCTCTCGTGTGTCTGTGATGCCCCAGTTCCACCTGAGAGAGGGTGAGGCCACGGACTTTCACACCAGGAGGGGGCGCTGCCAGCAACCCCCAGCCCTGCCCAAGGTTTCCGGGATTCCTGCTCATGTGCGTGTCCCTCCTGCCACATCTGAGACCTTCTGGTTATGACTGGGACCCCTTGATCGTGTCTCAGATCTCTGTGCCCAGCTGTGACTCCTGTCCTATCTGTCCCCCCAAATCCCTTGGTCATCTGTGAGATCCCCTAATTCTCTGGAACTGCCCTGCTACTTTTTTTTTATTTTTTATCTTTGGGTGTGTGTTTGGAATTCTCCAATCACATGTAGGGGGGCTGTGTGTTCCTTTGGTCATGTCTGAAAGCACTTGTCAGGTTGGGGGAGGCACCTCATTGACCTTTGTCCTTTCTGGGCCGCCTCTGGTACCCCCTTGTCTGTCTGAGATTCTCCAGTCACATCTGTGCCCTCATCCCAGAATTTCCACCTGATACACCCTTTTGGGGGCCCCACCAGCAGCCCTGACTTGTCATGGGAACCCCCTCTCCTGGGGTGTCCACGGTAGGCCCATTCTGGCCACTCAGCTGATTTCTGGGTGATCTTGGCAACCACCCGCCCCCCCACACTGTCATTTCTAACCAGAGATCTCACACTGGTGACTCCCCACCCCGCTCCTTACCTCTCATGTGGCGAATTAGGTCCCTCCCCGCGGTGGGGTTTCTTTAGTTCACCTTAGCATTTTTGTTTGTTTTTGTTTCCCTGGGATGGGGGATCCAAATTAGCTAACATTGCAATAGAGGGAGGTTTCCCAGAAATCCTTTACTTAAAACTTTGCACAACCCAGCGGCCCGGCCTTGCCGTGCGGGGAGAGGCTGGACCCAGGCGGTGCGCCCTGCCGATGGGCCTCCGTTCTCCGCTGCAAGGCTCTGGGCTGCCATGAGGCGCTAGGGGCTCCTCTCTGCTGCCTAAGCCTGTAACCCTTCGCATTTTGACCCGCGGCGTGAACCCGGCTGGAGGTGAAGCCTGGCTGGGCTCTCGGAGTTCTGACTGGACCCTCCTGGGGTGCCCGAGGCTGTGGCTGAGCCCAGAGGCCAGGTCCTTGAGCCTGGGTGGCTGGGGGACCTGGGGTCAGACTTGCTGCTTCTGGGCCTCCTGTGTCCCTTCTGTGAAAGGGAAGAGGAAAGGGAGGGAGACCGCAAAAGTCCGTCGCAGCCCTGTGGGTCGGCCTTTGATGCATCTGAAATCCACTCCCCTCCCACTGCTGGCCACGAGGGCGAGGAAGGAGTAACACAGGCCGGCGAGGGACAAGGTCCTCGCAGGGGCGCAGGGGCTGGTGGCAGAGCGCCGGCTGGGACCTGCCCTCAAGAGGGCGGCCCCCCTACCTTCGGGAGGGGGCCAGCGTGGGTGGGAGGGATATGAGGGGGACAAAATGTCCTCCCCAGGGCCTCCTCTTGCAAATGAGCCGCCTTTTGCAAAAACTATCATCACCCCCACGCTGGAATGGAATGAAATGAAATAAAATAATAAAATAACAAATCAAGGTAGACAGACCTTCTAGGACCCTTTGTTGGGGGCTGCTATGCTGCTGGTCCACCGGGGGCCTGCTGGCCCTCAGGGACACTGGGACAGGGAGGCGGTTAGAGCCCGACCGGCTGAGCCTTGAGGGACCGGTAAAGGCCTCTTCCTGGCCATTGAGGTTCTTCCCCGCTTACCTTTCCTGCTTCCCTTTCTGTCTGGGTCTCCGCCCCTCACTCCCAGCCCCTTTCTGGACTCTGCCCTTCCCTGGATTTCTGCACTCCCTCTTCTGAGCCTCTGTCCCCCTGTCTCTGGATACAGCCCTGGGGCCGACGGCGCAGGGCGTCCTCCTGGCTCCAGCGGCTCCACCAAGCGCGCCGGGCCCGCGGGAGCGCTCTGGTAGTCTGCCTGGCAACTCTTACGTCACAGGAAGGTTGCCGCCGGGTTGGCTGGGAACTCCCGGGAGGCGGGGAAGTTTCCGGCTCAGCGGGGGTTTTGGAAAGCGGGAGGGGGCAGATGGGCAAGAAGAAAACCTGGAAGGAGTTGTCTCGCCTCACACCGGGTCCCTCACCCTACGACACCACCTTCCCACCACCCCGTCCTTCACCTTAAGCCCCAGCCCTCCACACCCTTCCTGTCCCTCTCTTCCCCCACCTTGCCCTGCTCCCTTAACACCTGGGGTCCCCGAGAACCTCTCCCCCGAATCCCCTCCCCCACCTGGCGTCCAGCCACCACCACCCCCATTCAAAAAGCCACAGGTTCCCCTGCCGGGAAGGGCGCCAGCGTCCGGGCACCCCTCCAGGGCCTTCCCGGCCTCCCCAGCCGCCCCCGCTGGCGGCACGCGCATCGGTGCCCGCCGCGCCCGCTCCGGGAATCGTCCCGGGGAGCCGGCAGGACGCGGTCCCAGGAGGCGCAGGGGCCAGTCCGGGGTCCCAGGTGGCCGGGTCCCCAAGCCTGGGTTTGTGCCCGCGTCCGGGGGCGGACTTCGGAGTCCCCGAGCCTCAGTGCCCTCCCGGCAGGCGCAGAGACCTCCTCCCCGCCCCGGCAGCCGTCCTGCCTCCTCTGGGAAACCAGACCCTCCCCCCTGGCTCTGGTTTCCCGAAAACTACTGACTTGCAGATACTAAGAATGGCTTTCTAGACCCTGTCTTCTCCCCACCCCCACCCAGGAGCTCAGGCCCTCATCTTTCTCCTTTTCCTTCCCAGGCCCCTCTTCCCCGCACCTAAGAATCTAGACCCTGGGTCCCCTCTGCCCTCAGACCCAAGAGTCCAGGCCACCAGGCCCCCTCCCTCGGACCCTGGAGCCCGGCCCCCAGTCCCTCCTCCCTGGGACCCCGAGTCCGGCCCCCAGGCCGCCCCTCCCTCGGACCCCGGAGCCCAGGCCTGCGGCCCCTCCTCCCTCAGATCCAGGTGTCCGAAGACATCCCCCACCTCCCCGGGGACCTGGCGGTCAGCCATTTCTCCTTGTTGGGCTGTCCTGTCGTTTGCCCTGTAGAACAGGCGGACACGGGGTGGCAGGGGAGGGTGGGCAGGCCACGGATGCCTCCCGGAGCCTCCTGGGAGTCACTGCACTTTTTAAAGACTTCCCCTTGGAGGCCCACCTGTCCTCCCCAAGGCCCAGAGGGACACAGCTGCGGTCAGCGGAGCCGGAGGAGGTTTGCAGTCATGCCTGAGGCAAAACCAGGTGGCTCTCAGCGCTCCCTTTCTGAGTGGAGATGGGCCCTCCTTTCGGAATGGGGATTAGGGGCTCCTCTTTTTGCGATGTAGGGAGAATGGGGAGCCTCCTCTGTGTGGGCAGAGGTTCCTGCCCTTGGGTGGGATGGGGGTGTCCAAGCTGTGTTGGGGGGAGGGTCCCCTTCCCTGTGCGGTGAGGCGATTTCTTTGTAGGGAGGTAGGAGGCCCATCCCTCAGTGCAGATGGAGAGTCTCTGATTGTGACCTTGAGGCCTTCTTCCGGGTGAGGATGGGACGCCTGGGTGTGCGCGCGTGTGTGGACGGGGCAATGTGCCTGGCGATTGGGGTCTCAGTCGGGCCGCTTGTCTGAGTGAGGGCTGGGGTCTTTCTCTGCAGGGGAACGGCGTCCTTTGTGTGTGTAGAGATTAAGGATTCCCGCCTGTGTGCTGAGGAGAGCTCTGTACAAGGATGAGGGACGCCCTTTCTACGGGAGTCAGGGTTTCCCACGTAGGACGTAGGGGACCTTCTCCACAGAGGGGCCGAGAGCCTTTCTTTGTGTGCAGATTGGGGGCCCTTCTTCAAATGAGCCTGGGCGGCAGCACTTCTTGTTATGGGCATGGGGCTTGCTCTCTGCGGGGAAATGAACAGAAGAGGCAAACTCCAGGGAGGGTCCCTCTTCCCCGGGTGTCCAGGCCACTGGCACCAGGTCAACGGGGCTGTGGAGTGGGGGGTCCAGCCCCTCACTGCGGCTGGGGCTCCAGTGGGCCAGGAGCCAGCAGGCAGGGCGCGGCAGGGCAGAGACGCTGTGGTCAGCACGAGGTGTCCAGTTTCCAGCCCCAGGAAGAGCTAATTTTACCCCCAGGACCCAAAAGGTTAGGGCCCCGTGGCCTGGATGGTGGGGCAGAGCCTGCCCAGGGTAAGGGGAAACCTGATCGCACACACTCGGGATTAGAGATAAATTTATGGTAATCTCTCTGGCCCGGCTGGCCTCCCGGTGCCAGGGAGGAGGGAGGGATTCCTGGGCTCTGGAAGGGGCGGGGCGAGCGTGCGCTCCATTGTGAACGCCCCTCTCACAGCAGCCAAAAAGGCCCCCAAAGGCAAAGATGCGGCCAAACCGGCTCCCAAGGAAGCTGCTCCCAAGGAAGCTGCTCCCGAGCAGGCTGCTCCTGAACAGGCTTCTCCCAAGGAAGGCCCCACAGACGAGGCTGCCCCCGAGTCCCCCAAAGGTGAGATAGCGCCCGGTGGGCTCAGCAGAACCTGGACCTCCTCCCGCAGGCGCCCCGCCTCCGGCCCCCTCCCTGTCCTCTGCATGGCCCAGAGCTGACCCCTCTCCCCAGCCTCCCGTGGCTCCCCAGGGCCCCCAGGACGGAGCCCAGCCCCTCAGCCTGGCCTTCAAGACCCCACCCAACTCCTCGCTGAGTCCTACCAGCTTGGAGGCCCCATCTGTCTTTACACCTCTGCTCCCACGCAGTC